TTGCTTTTTAAACCCATTTCTGACATTTCCGCAGAGATTGAGAGAGTAACAAAAAGGTGAGAAGTTCATTGTAGTGTTTATAACGTACTAGATTAATAATAATAATAATAATTTAAAAAATTTAAATAGTAAATAGCATAGTTGGAATTTGGTTATTGCTCATTGATACTTGAATTATTTTAGCCATATCTTCGCTTACGCACCTGCTCCTGTGGCGCAGAGGTTAGCGCTTCGTGCTTATAGTTGTTCAAATCTTGACATTCTATGTTAGATTCGTGTGAGGAACGCGATGGTCGCGGGTTCAATCCCCGCCGGGAGCAGAAGTGTTTTTTTTTTTTGGTTCTGCTTTTCTTCGGTGGCTCTAAATTCCTTCCTTACCTAAGCCGGCTAGAGAAGAGGCAGAAGCAGTGTAGCCGCTTCTGCTGCTGCTGCCACAGGGCTTCCAAATTATTGGATGGACAAACACATAATATATTGATTATATTAATAATAATCAAACAAAAACAGGCAAAAAAAAAATAATTATATAAATAGATGTATATATATATTTATATAGATATGGTTAACTTAAATTCATAAAATCAAAGAAGATAAAAGTGGTTTTAGTCAATTGAGTAAACTACCTTAACAATTGTTCTTTCACTTCTAATTGCTTACCCAAATGCAGGGTATCCCCAAATACTTGAATAATCCCTTTTGTAGTGTTCGATTTATTAATATCCACAACTGTTATGCTTGTATTATATGGAACTTTTAAATCTTCAACTTTAATCTTATTACTCAATTTATAATTCAAATCACTATACAAGTGATTAATAAAATTTGTAATTACACCTCCATGAGTAATTACAACTACATTTTTATAATTTTCTTTACAACCTTTAGATATAATCAGTTCCCATTCACCATAAAGTCTCTTAACCAACAGTGTCCTTGACTCACCAAGATTTTTATAATCAGTACCATATTTCTCTATTGCATCTTTTAAATACATTCCTTCCACAGGTCCCATTGATCTTTCTCTTAAATTATAAGTCTTATTCAATTTTAACAAAGGATGATATTTCAATATCTCCTTTGATGTATTTTCACAACGAACTAAATCTGAAGAAATCAAATAATCAATTGGTAATTCCCGTAACCTTAAACCACATAGTTTTGCCTGATTATAACCTGTTTCATTTAAATCTATATCTGCATGGCCTTGTAATCTTTTACAAATATTATAAGAAGTTTGACCATGTCTTATAATGAAAATACGAAGAACACCTTCATCAACATTACTCAAACTATCTTGAGTCATCTTCCTTCAATTAAAATTCAACCCAAAGTAACAAAAAAAAAACCCTTGTTCCTATTTTTTTTTTGGTTTTTTAAAAAACAATTATATATCTTAGTTTAACAACTCCATCATCCGCCCACCACACATACACATACATAGCTTTACTGCAAAACTAAATGAGACATAATAATTTTTGAGGACAAAAACAATTTTTCACATTTAGATTTCCTAATTTGGCAGTTTCTTATTTTGGGTTTTTTACTTCCGAAAATGGCAAAAAATAAAATCTTGGTATTAAATATTTTTTTGAAGGTAAAAAAAAATTTTCGAATACTTTTGACCAACATTAACTGATAATATATATTAGTATCAAGTATTTGTTTTTTTTTTTTTTTTTTTTTTGGTCTTTTTGGTGTTTTTTTTTTGGATTAATTTCATTTGAATCATTTGAAGGATAGTTTGATTTTTAGATAATGATGATTAATTCTACAAGACGTCTGTTTTCAGTTCAGCAAAAATTTGAGCTTGGGGGATATCGTTATTTTGCATCTTCTCAGACAAATTTATCAATTTTAGATTTTTTCAGGTCAAAGAAAGATACAGCAACTTTAACAAAGAAATCAACTGATGAATTAATAAGTAAAGTTGAAAAAGATGATGTTTCTTTAACTTCGGATATTAATAAAAAGATACCTATTTTAGGTAAAAGGAATGTTGAACAATTAAACCGTTGGAAAACTAAAATGAACAATTTTAAAGTTGAAAGTTGGGTACCTGAAAAGAGTAAATATTATTATGGATTAAAACAATATGATTCAAATGATTTAAAATTAGAAAAATATGGTGAGTTGATAAATAATTTATTATTGACCTCATATAATAAATTTTATCCAAATAATCAACTTGAATCAATATCACAATTTAACTCAAATTTAAATAATGATTTATCATTGAAATTTAAATTTTTCAAATATATACAAATTACTTTTGGATTAAAAATTTCAGATATGAATTTAACACAAATTAATACTTTACAAGCTTTAAATGATTTCTTAAAGACAGAATTAAAGCCAAATAAAACAATAATTAATGAAAAATTACCAAATGCAATTTACTTAAATCCACAAGATTTTAAAAATACAAATGTCTATATAGATTCATCTATTTCTCCAAAGGAAAAACAAAAGAAATTTAACAAGTTAATAATGAAACTCAATAAAGTGGAAAAATTGGAAAAACAAAAATTAATCCAAGCTTAAGTTAAAAATCATTAAGAACACACCTGTATATATATAATACATACATCAATTTATTTCCCATTAATTTTGAATTGAATCGTAATTTTTTTTTTTTTCAAAAATCTAGTAGAATATTATTAACAACCATATACATATATATACTAATTAAAAAATTGATGAAAAGTGTCAAAAGGGAGAGAGAAAGAAAAAAAAAATGGTTCTAGAGAAATAAAAAAAAAAATAAAAAAAAAAAATGAAAATTCATTTCAAGTTAAAATTCTAACATCATTTTCTGCTGAAAGTAAATACAACTACTATAGACGCTGCTAATGCCACTAGAGCACTTGGTAATAACAAATGATTTGGTATACCGAAAATATCATTATCATTTAATCCTCCTGTAGTAGTCTCGATACCATTTTTCTTGTCTTTTTTAACAAACTCATATGTAACTGGAGCTTCATCATGTTTATGAATAAATAAATCTGTCTTTTCTCTTCTCAAATGCTTAGAAATTGAAACACATTGAAACAAGTCTTCATCATTTGTGATGGCAACAATATCAGCTTCATCATCGATATATGAAATAGCAAAATCAACTTTATCATATGCTGACACTGGTACTGCTTCTTCTTCTCCTTCTCCTTCTTTCCCATTTGCAACTTGTTTCTTTGGTTGTTGTTGTTGTTGTTCTTCTTCTTCTTCTTCTATTTCTTCTTCATTGGTAAATGATAATAATTCTTGTTTGTTTAATTTAGATGAAATAATTTCTTTTAATTTGTTAAAACCTTCCGATGGCTTAAAAGATATTCTATGAACTCTACCAACCGGTGACTTAAATTTGAAATGAAATGGATTGTCAAAATCAATTTCTTTAACAATTGAATCAGCTGTATGAGAATGACGAGATTCACTTTCTGGTGTTGGTAACAATGTACGGTTTAATTTTGAAGCAGGTAATCCTGTTCCTGAAACGCTATCAGATGGTCCAATATCTCCAGTGAATTGAGCAAGTTCTGATGTGGTAGCATCAAGATGTTGTGTATAATGAGAATGTGAATGACTATCACTATTTACTGAATGTAAAGATTCTGAATCATTATCCAAAGAAGTCCAAAATTTATTCCATGCAGGTCCTTCTTTTTCATCATCACGAGCACTATTATTAGTTGATGAAGATAAACCTTGACCATTACCATTAACTCCTGAAGCAGCAGAGCCACTACCACTATTTAAATTTTGCATAGATTTAATTTGATCCAATGTAGCATATGTTAATTTTAAAACTTCAACAATACCAATTATTTCATTTGATTCATCATCTATAACTGGTAAATTTAAATATCTTCCATCAAACATTTTTCTTAAAGCTTGATGAATAGATAAATTACTACTAGCATAATCTGGTTTTGGAGTCATAACTCTAATAACTGAACAAGTTTTTGGATCTAAACCTGCAGCAATAACTCTCAAGACAACATCTTTTGAAGTGAAAATTCCCGTTACTTCATCATTATTTTTACTATCTTTAACTAATACAGCTGTAGTTCTATTATTTTTCATTAGTATTGCTGCATCATTTGCAGTTGCTTTAATATCGATATAAACAGGAACAGTAGATTCATCTAATACATCATTTAAAGTTGGACCTTCAATTAAACTTTTTAAATCTTCAAAATATTGAATTATTTGTAATGATTGAGAACCAATGGTAGAACCACCAATTTCATTATTAACACCTTCTAAAGCATCTTGTAATTTTTTATTATTTTCATACATTCTTTCTAATTTTAACATTGCTTCATTATAACATTTAGTA